AAAAAAGGCAGTAAAATTCAAAAAATTTCCGCAGATGTCTATGGGTCTATGAGACTGGGTGTATATAATTTAAACTTCATCAAAACGATTTTCATTTCAAGTGCAAGCATAATATATTAAAGTAGTATAGGTACATACACATTTTTATTTGAGTATGCTGATGCGCACATTTATTACTCATCAACCAACCAACCGAACACTAACAACCAGCCATTGGTCCAACACCTCGCCTTCGCGCCTGTAATAGCTAAGCAGCCAACCGACCGTAGAGCCGCGCTGCTGTCACCAATATTTGATTTAAACAACGAAACGTCGCCAACGATGTCAATGACGACGATAGCCCACAGCCGTAAGGTTGGTGCGATTGCGAAAGCGAACGCGAACGCGAGAAAATAGTTACAACGCGCCACGGCCACGCATGACGCCAATAAAAGTGTGAAATGTGCGAATGAGATTTGTATTATTGACTGACGTTGCTATACGCCGCACCAAAAGCACTCTCTAGGTCTAGTTGGCAGTTCTTAAATGCAAAGAAACAAATGATTTCATGGCACTTTTCGATGGTGATTGAGGTGGGAAAAGCGAAAAGAGCAACCAGTGAAATTAAATTTTAAATAAAGTAGTAAAAACGCAAGAAAAAAATTCAGCGCCTCTACAATGCTTCGACAGTCGTTCGAGAGATTACGCGCTTCTTAGCTCCTTAGCAGGTCACCACCGCTGGCGCTTTGTGTTTGAGAAATGCGCGCACCTTTTTTAAATCCAATTTATTTTGCAATTTATTGTTAAATTCATTTTTTATTCAACTTTGCGCCGTACAGCTGTTCGTTATACAGACCTTATATACATACATATATGTACATACATATGTAGTAAGTTTCTTTGTGAAGGTGTGCATTTTTGCCAGTTACTTATTGTTCTTTGGTTCAATTTTTTTTCTTAGCCAAAATTTTGCTTATTCATGCCAATATTCTTGTGCTCATTTCCCATTTATTGCTGCCTGCCGACATTTATACAAACGTTGCGTTAATCCTGGACTAAAGTAGAATTTAAGCGAATGCAAATATAGAGTATTTCCTCATGAGAAAAAAATGCATACAATAAAATATGTGAAAACAAACCGTTAAAAGAACCCTCAACTTATAGGAATGTATTTCGAAAATAATAAATCATGCTGCAGACAATAAACAAATAAAATCCCATTTCATTTATTGGTAGCACCACGAGATAACGTTATTTATATATGTTCAAGTACGCATTAGTGTGGTTCTTAAGTTGCTGAGAAGGAAAATCAAATTAATGAATTCTAAATATGGAATGCCTTCTCAAGCAGTTTGACTTACTTCGAAAGCGCTAACAGTACGTAATGATTATCGAAGTCTCCAAGAACGTAAGTTGTGCTGTACAATACTAATCACGGCTTTCAAAAAACAAAGGCGGAAAACTGGTGGTCCACATTGTTTCTTTAACAAAGGTTAGGCATTGCCTTCGGTCGTAACTCTGACCTTCGGTGCTAAAGAAAGTCGACCGATCTAACAAAAATCCACAAATGCTCCAAAGGATCTGCCCACTATGAGATACATTTCTTTCATGCTATTATAGATTATTCGTATCCAGAAGCTCTGCTATGCATGAACTGAGCCCAAAGAACTCAATCGAACTGAGGAAGTGCCCATCACTATTCCATGGAAAATGCAAATTTTTAGGCACTACCACTAAACAGTTCTAGTAGCTGTGGTGCTGACTAAGGCGCTCAAAACGTACGCGATTGACGATATCGAGGATCCTGAGCTTCACGTCTACCTAATTCCAAAAAAGGAAAGAACATTTTCGGTCATACCCAGCAATGTAAGCCTCGGAAAAATGACCGACCTACCGCAATCCAGGCAAAATTGCCTACCATATATGGCATCCATCTAGAAGCTACGTGACCAGTCATGTTAAATCGAAGGTGACCAATTAAGGAAGTCTAGGAATTTTGTATTCTAGACAAATGTCATCTCCAGACAATCTATACTTAAAGAATTATCAAGAACCCTAAGACATGAAAACTGAGCCTAATATAGAATCGACCTTCACTGTTAAGTGAGGTTTCAGAAAACTGAAATAGAAAGTATTCGAAGCAGTATCCGCTGTAGATGGCAGTGGAAAAGAAAGACCCCCACTCGGAAAATCCCTGGCTCCATTAAATAGAAAGCTGTTGTAGCGGCCACGGTAGCCGAATGGTTAGTATTGTGTACTGACTTCCGGAAGGTTCGGGTTCAAAAAGTTATAGCAAATTTTTTTAAATAAAAAAAACAAAAATTTAAATTCTCTAATTGCGCTTGTCCCTCGGCAGGGAATGTCCATTGAAATTACTTTGCTAGCATTAAAATCGAAATTAAATCCATCATGTCCTTTGCCTTGTCATACATGTGTGTATTTGCAATACATTTGTCTCAAAAAAATATTTCCACTCATTAAGAACCTCCCTGTGATCAACTTATTTTTTCAGCGCCGTCTAAAGCCATATTTTCCCACCTTCTGCACTTCATAAAATCGGACGTGCACTTAAACCCTTTTATTCCTGCCAGTTCATCTCTCCCCTACCTTCCCCCTCGCTCACTCTCACCTTCTATATACTAACCTTTTCAACGCAGTTGCTCTTTGTTGTTTGCTTTTTACGCCAATAAAATAAAATTTATTGGCACATTTGTGGCCAACAAAAAAAATATAATAAATAAATTCAACGAATTCGCCGAAAAATGCTAGCGGTTAGAGTGCAAAAGCAAAATGCAAAAAACTTTAGAACAAATCAACCACACACGTACACAGCGAATGTTGGTGTGGCGAAATATTAAGAAGCCAATCGAAAGAAGGAGAAAAAAAATCGAAAAAAAATATTTGCAATCTAGTTATGCTATTCAAATTCGCACGTCGCGACTTGCGGTGATAAAGTACCTTCATATCGCTGGGCGCGCGAATTGCTCAATTGTATCGCGCTGTGGATATCGCGATTTGCGATGTTATCTGCCGAACTGTGAAATCTTCGCATTTATCATGCTAAGCATGCTTAGCACGGAAGCGCGCCTCACGTCGTCGTTGTTTACCGTTCGTTGATGCTGCTCGCAGGAGTTTTGCGAAGCAAAAGCTAGAGAGTTCTTCTCAGAAGCGGAAAAAAACAATTGGTTGACAAGGGTCTATTCGCGGTGATATATGCCTTTGATGGAAATAACACTAAAAGTCGGTGATTAAAATGAATTCCTTTGGGCGACAAAGTTCTATCATTAATTCGTGTTAATCGTCGCAAAAAAGGCTTATAAAAATGTTGAAGTCTGAGTTCATTCTCTAAGTCTAATGTCTAAATGGGTTGGCCGATTCATGACATTATTGGTTCAATAATTTGGAGTGCTATACTAGAGTGGTAGCTTTTGTTTCATTTTTGAGGGCACCTAATGCGCCCAAGCCTCCTATTTTGAGATTGATAAATAGCTATGGAGAATATCGTAGTTCGTAGCGGTTATCTAAAAACGCTACATTTTAATTAGGGTGCTATCATAGCCAAATCAACAATATCGCCATGAAATGATTTATGCCACCTCCATTGAATACTTTCAAACGTTTATAAATCTTCTGAAAGTCGGTGCGTATCCTCTTAGGATTATCGATTTGCAATCTTCAACTCAGTGGCATCTCTCTAACATATTTTAGGATCGCAACGTCTGACGTTCTCTCTTCACTGCAGCTTTTTTTTTGACTTATTAGAAACCAAATGTTATTGATTATTGCTCTCATAGAACAGGTGTGCAAGTTCACTAGAAAACCAATTCGGCGTCTATCCTTCTCTATGTACGATAACGAGCGTACTTTGCTGTACAGAGATGGGTGCTTATCTTCGCTGCTTCACGACAGTGACCTGAGTCGATGTTAGGCTCTAGTAATTTCCGCGCACCTAAAACACTGGAGACATGTTTTCCGTCTATCACGACATTATCGACTTGGTTGCATGATTTCGCGCCATTTTGCCAGTAGAATTTTTATGCGCAAAAATATAGGGACAGTTGGTCAAGTCGATCAGACTCGTGGGGGGCTTTATATTCCGAATGTTGTGCTGGAGACAAATTTTTCGCCAATCCTTGCGTTAGAATTGCCAAGCGAAGTTTATGACATCGTAATGGAGGAAGATCTCATAGGTGTATTCAGATCCTGACTAAGGGTTCGTCCAACGGGAGTGAATTCCAAGACTAGGTGACGTAGCTTTCCTCCTACCACAGATCAAACACCAAACTGCATCCCTTTGTGTGACCGTTGTAGTATATTTCACATGAAACCACCTTGATTCGTTCTTGTCTTGTCCTTCGCTCCACTTGGATAGCGCTGATATCAGTCCTTAGTCCTATAAGAATATGAACCAGCATCGGCACCGGCATTTCCAGGTATAAGCCTTCAAAATGCAATCCTTAAATGTTTGCAGGGGGAGTTTTCGAAAAAGGGTCTGTATGCTGGGCTTTTTGGATATTTTTCATTCAGCAAGGTTTCAGATCTTACTCAGAACCACGTGAAGCTTCTTTTTTCACTTTAGCTCTCCTTGGCTGTATATTTGTAACCTAGAATTTACTTGTTTTTTGGCCGTAAGTCATCAGCTGTTTGAGCTCTTTGTAAAAGGACATTTTGGGCTCACTCCCAGGTGAATTTCCGTCAAAAACTTTCCTTATTTGCGAGAATGTCTACACATAGCCACATCCTCCTTTTCAAAGGTGTTGCTCGAACCAAGAACAGCTTCAGATTTATTAACCCATCAGTAAAAGGAGAGAGCTTAACTAAATGATTTCTTCCAGTTTCCCTCTTGCGCACAGAAATCTTTTCATTTTTAATATATCTTCTCATTGGAGTCTTCATACAATAAAAATAATAAAAAACCCATTGAACTTAAGAACTTTTTCAAATTGATTAAAAAATATAAAACCTGCAGCTCTAACGAGTAACACAGAAAATTTCAGCATTTTTTTCATTTTATTATTTTTATTTTCCATTTTTGACAAAACCAGACAGAAATTTCCCATTAAATTTTAAATTAAACGAACTTTCTTCATTTTCGGTTCTTTTTTCAATTATTTACCAATAAATTAATAGATTGAAATATGGAAGTTACGAGATTGTCCGAGAAGCGGCGTAGACAGCAACTGGATGAGTATAAGAAAATGATTTTGGACGTTAAGCCGCGAGTGGACGATGTACCGCCAAAGCTGAATGTAAGAGACATGCTGCGCGCCTCGAAATTACGCGACGACTGTAACGCCTTCGAGCGCATACGCCGCATGAACAACGAACTCTTACGCAATGTCAACATCATATCACGTATTGGCGGACAGTTGGATACGTTTCGTGAACGCAAAATGAATTCGGCTAGATCACGCATCCCACTGATATTGCTGCAAAATCGCTATATCGAAAGAGATAATATCAAATTTGGACAGTTCTTGAAAACGGTCGGCACTACGCTGGACACACATGTGGCACCGCATCTGCTGCGGCACGTGCGCAAAGACTCGGTGGAATTTGTGTTACCCGCACAGATTTTAGCCAAATATCATCAGATTAAAATGCCGCCCTACTCACAGTTACGTCGCTTACTGCGGCCCGTCATCTATTTCGATTTCTATGTGAAGGGTTTGCGACCCGCCGGACGTATTACCATACAACTATATACGGAAGCCTGTCCGCAGGTGGTATTGGCTTTTGTACGCGCCTGTCGTAATGGTGATAAAAATAAAATTTTCGTAAATCGTCTCTTTCCTGGTCTGTGGCTTGATTGTTGCCTACTCCTGCCGCAGGAGCAGAAAATCAAACCGAAACATATCGAATATGATATGCGCGCGTTGGATCATAACAGGTCGGGGACGTTAGCCTTTACGCTGGACCAACAGGATGCCTTGCATAAGGATGCTTTGAAATTTACACTTAGCGTTAAGCCGCTGCAGGTGCTCAATGGTAAACGCGTTGCCTTCGGTGTGGCGAGTAGTGGCACAAAGGTGCTCGACTCCATGCAAGTTTTTGGCATGAAGAAGAGTGGGAAGCTGACGAAAAGCATAATAATAAGTGATATGGGGCTGTTGGTTTAATAAATAAATTATTTGTAAAAAAATATAAAATCAATCGAGAAAAAATAAAATTATTTTGACAGTTTCTCGTTGCCACGCGCCAAACAGATGGCATTCGGAATACTTCGAGCTGTGTTGTTGCGAAGAAAATACCATCTGTTGCCTTCTTAGGCGCATTCAAAGTTGATTTTTTTTAATTACAATAATTTCAGGCTGATTCTAAAAAAGTTTAATTTCATAGCCAATATCTTGATATTCGGAAATCTCGCGCTGTAGCGCTCTCTTCAAAATTTTCGTTCTCTCAGCAGTAGATAAATGAAAAAATTTCTCGCGGTGCATTAGCACAATTTAAATCATTGCATATATACAAGGGTTGCTTCGTATATTTCGGGATTAGGGAACATAAGCAATTATTAATAACCAAAAATAACTTTATTGCTTTTCAAAATATTCTCCATTAAAATCTGTTCACTTTCGAATGCGTCTGAAGCAATTGCCCAAGTTTTGCCACTCTGGTTGGGGTATCTCCAAAAATTGCGTTTTGAATTTATCAACTGCCTCTTCAGGTGTCGAAGCAAGCTGACCTCTCAATTTATTTCTTACGTGAGGGCACAAAAAGAAGTCATTCAGGTCCAAGGCAGGATTATACGGTGAATGACTCATAAAATCAATTGCTAAAGTCGATTCGTGAGAACAAGAATCATCGCGATAAAAAGTAAACCACCTTCAGCGGCTGATGTTTCTGATTGCCTGAAAGACAACCTTGGCGGTATAAAAATCCGGATCGTGCCGGTTTAAAGACCAGACTGTCGCGGGAACAATTGGATTTTAGACGCCTCTTACAGTAGACCTGCCTTACCGCGGGTAAATTCTTGAGCCCCTAACCCGCAGAGGGTAGAAACTCATAAGTTGGACTGCGGTTGACTTTTACGCTCTACGCGTAACCTATCACGATGTCATAGACGTTTTTCGAAGTGCCGCTCTCGTATTTTTTAACATTTCTCTAGAACAGTCGACACGAGCCTTTCATTGAGCTATTGAAAAAATGGTGTGGAAGTCAACTAAACGAATTTTTTGCTCGGCTAAACTTTTATGTTGAATTTAGGCTGATCCCATGCTGATGACTATCGATGTCACGATCTTACAATAGATCTCATGACGATCTGGCAATATGATTTTCTGCACTCATCAATAGTTCCCGGAATAACAATTGATTTCGGACGACCTTCATGATATTCATCTTGGAGTGGTCTACGACCTCGATTGAATTCACCTTACCATCAATAAAGATTGGCTCCTGATGGGACTACATCGCCATCAAATTGAGTTAAGTTCATCGATGTACTTTGGCTGAGTTAATCCACGTCGGTAGATAGAGTTGTTGGTTTTCAGATGGCAACGCTTGGCTTGGGAAGTCCCGATTCTTAAAAGGCAACCCTCGTATATTTATATGCTCTTTAGTTTGTAAGTTTGTATATACTCCTTATATTTGCGCCGCCTTGCAAATTCGCTATTGTCTTAATCAATAAATCCGTTTGTTGGCAATTGTGCTCATAAATTATCGAACGTGAAAAGTTAAATATTCATTACCGTTGCCAATTGGCCAACTGGCTGTTGATGGACGTTTTTGTAATTTTTTTTATTTTTTTCCTTTTTATTTTATTTTTGTTTCTTTAATAAAGCCTGCCAATATAATTCTGTGACATTTTAGAAGCAGTTAAATGGTAATTGCCAATTTTGCATGTGGAAATGGCAAACCAATTGCATGCACTGTGGGCAAGTGATACTAAAAAGTGAACATTTTCAAAGTGAAGCAAATGCGATTGGCTCACACCTTGAAAACGTTTAATAGATGATATTTTGTTCTGTTAAAATAAAGGACGAAACGTTAGCCAGGCAGCTAAATGTGCTGATACTGTAACAGTCAGTTAATGTAAAAGATGCTCCATGGCGTGAAAGGCTAATTGTTGGGAATTTCAATAAAATAATGGTAATCGTTGAGTTTTGCGTTTGGTAGGTATTACAAGGAACCAGCCTCTATGAAATTCATCCTTACGACCAAACTCTAGGGATCTGTACTATTAGCAATTGAACCGTATGTGGGGGAATTGTGCACCTACACTCATCAAAAGAGACTTGCGCGACTCGCCAGAAGTTCTAAGAATTTGCTTGGGAGGCTATTATGCAACCACCTTTAAGTTCGGACCTCTTACCAACTGGTCTGTCTATGACGATTGATTTGACCGGTGAAAAATTGGGCTCTAGAGAAGAAGATTTTCACATGTATTGTCCTAATTTGTCACTAACGGAGGCAAGGGTTTACACAAATCGAATAATTTTTTTTGCAGTTTAATGCAAAAATAATGAAATACTTTTTAGCAATTGAGAGGACTATCAGCTGCGGCTCGAATCCTGTTGAGACCATCACCCAAAATTATGGAAAAATTTGTAATAACTGCAGTCGATCCTCATTTGGGACTTTCAGGCCATCCGTTTGTGTTTCTGACATGAAATAAAAAACTCCTTTCGGGAAATCATCGGTAGCTCGATGGTGGCTTAGAACAAACCCAAGGACGCACAATTTCGTTAGAAAAATTTTAAGACACAAATTTAGGAAGAGCCAAAAATCCGAAAACCTAAACACAGTGCATTAAACGTATGCCGCTTTAAGTAGGCGATTACTCACCTATTTTCGGCTGCATGCTACATTTCAGCACTTGCAATGCGAAAATTAATATGTATGCCATCACTATATACACACACACATGCAGAGAGAGCAGATACTGTTGTGATGGGTTATGTGAATATCCTTGACAATTCCACTTTGGTAAATACCGATAAATTTGCTATAGTCTGTACTTACGTTGTATGTATGTATGTATGTTCATGTGTTTGTGTATGAATATTTGCATAAGCTTTTTGCTGCGCCATTACTCATGCACATTGCAACAATAAATCAAAGCGACGTGTTTGCAATAATTTCATTCATTCATTCATTCATTCCTTCATTCAGTCGTCGTCGTTCAACGTTCAACAAGCAAGCAAGCAATTCAGTGCAACGTAACGTAACGTAAAATGCAATTTAACTGTTGCCACTTAAACAATTGTTGTACGAGTATGTATTTTATGTATTTTGTTCGGTAATATTTTTATTCTTTTGGTTTTGTTATTCCTCTTGTCAACCAAATGGCAAACAATGCCAACAAAATTACCTTTTAAAAGAAGAAGAAGAAAAAAAAAACAAATAAAACATAAAGCAAATTGCAATTGGGAGCTTACAGTGGCGGCGGCAGCCATTGGAAAAATCCACAAAGTGATATATACTCATATACGTATGTATGTATGTAACCACTAACTGCTTTAGAATAACGTTAAATAGAATTAAATCTGTGGCGAATAAATCTGCACAAAAATCGTGTTGACGCAGCTGCGCTTCCCACTTGTCAACAGTCAAAGGAAAAAATTTAGATTATATTTGCAATAGTTTTAATTTATTAGCGCTCACTTGCAACGCTTGCTGAACGAACAACGAGCTTGCCTGAAAATAGTAAGATCAGTAGTGATCAGCTCAATTAGCGATGCAGAAATAAAAGCATAAGAACCTGCATTTTTTTTTGCCTCTCTCCCATTCTTCTTACGGTTCTCTTTATCAACGAGAAGTAGTGAATTTATTGAGTGGGGTAATCAATGCTGATTAGAGTTCTTGTATATAGTTGTCCCATCACTAGGCCACAACTAAGTAATCTTAACGCTTGTCTTCTACGAGATTCCACAGTTTTTAAACTCCGTTAAGCGTCAATCACGAATACGCACAGCTGACACCCAATTATTCAGGTTGAAGTTTCAATCTATCTACACATGTACAAATGGGTAGACGACCAGTCAGAGTTCCCACTAAAAGTGATCGGTCGTGTTAGAAGCACTTCTGGTAATTCACGAGCTATCCTAGCACATAAGTATCTTCCGAACGGACTGTTTTTGCTAAGTCCAGTGACGCTGAGCTATCCATGAGAGAACCAAAGGTATTCACAATCATACCCACTGCCTTCAGCACCGTGATACCATTCCCAGGCCAACCATTCTTGCATCAGCTTTGCAAGTTACTGATGATTTCTATTACCCTTACTAAAATCAGGCTTGTTGCAAAATAGTTCTTCATTGACGAAAGGGAAGTCAGACATCGTTTAAATAGCTTTAAGAGCAACATAACCGCCTGTAAGGCCAAGCTAGCCGCCCTCTTGTCAGTTTGAGAGCTAACAGCTTTGACGAAAATAGCAATCTGTCAGTTTGAGAGCTAACAGCTTTGACGAAAATAGCAATCTGAAGTTAAAGATCGCCCTGTTTCCTGATTTCTTAGTTATCTGATTCTGAATTTCTGACCGGAAAATCTATTACCAAGCCCTAAAACTGCCCCGAACACTCCATAAAGCAAACTAATGCCCTTCGATTCCAGATGCTATTTTGAACGCAGTCAACTCAAGCGGCAGTATTGGTAAATAAATGCTGGCTGGAAGGCAATTCATAGACAAAGTACTCTGTTTATTCATGGATGAAGTTTAGGCTTTGTAAAATCCTCAAATATCCAGTTTCCGAGCCGAACAAAAACATAGTTTTTAAGCCTTACGGAAGAACTTCTGGTGCTGTGTCAAAAAGCATAATGGGTGATCGAGATCAAGATTTATCCCTATGACTCAGCATTAACACTGCCATTTGTTTAAGTTTCGGATGAATACCTCGTTTCGAGATAGAAGCAGAGTTGCAGTTGAACACAGGTGAGGTGGTTTGTTCAGACCAGTTTTCGTCGGTTAAGACGGTCGAGCTCGGAAGTGTTTATAATCTCTTTGTGTTAGCAAATAAATCATTCTCAAGTAATTCCTTGAAATCACAAATAATTTATATATAGAAGTGTCCTTTCCATAAGGTGAGTTTCTCTTAACACTAGCTGCAAGATCAACTTTCTTGCACCATCTTAGAATCCTTATCAAGTCGCCATCCACAGCTCTCTCTAAACGACACTAAACGGCAAAATAATTTGAAAACTCTCTTCAAGTGTTG